AACAAAAAAACGAACATATTAATAGAAAAAAACTCTGTTTGATGGTTTTTCAAGTTCGAATTTCTTTTCATTTTATTTCACAGCAAAATATCAGAATGCGCATACTTATGTTCGGTAGCATGTTAGTAATTTACTCCGGTAGAGAATACAATCGACTACCAACAGTCCGAATAGGACGACTTTATCGAAAAGTTCGATTGTGCAGGTTTCATAAAAGAATCGTTGCCATTTTCGAAAGTAAAATACCCGTAATTTGAATTTGCGACAAGATAAACAACATAACCATGAATGTACAATAGTATAAAAAATTCTAAAAGATTACATCAGTCTCTTTTTTTATATTTTAGTGACATGTCGTCATCGAATACAAGTATAGCCGCTACCGTTGCAAATATTAACCAGAGTTTGGCTACATTCTCCAAATGTTGGAGCGCATTTCTTTTCAGTTTTGGTGTTGTTGGTCATTCACTTAGTGTTTATGTGTTCACACGTCGTACATTTCGTTCAAATCCATGTACTCAATATTTTCTGGCATTGACCATAGTTGGTTGCTTGATTGTCTATGGCACTATTCCATTACGCATTCTACAATTTGGCTTTAACATTGATGTATTCACATTATCACTTCCAGTGTGCAAAATTTTGTCGTATATTTTGGCTTGTGCTAGGTAATCCAAATTGCAATGAAATACATAAACAAATAGACATTACTTTTTTTGTTTTTTAGAGTTTTACCTTCCTGGTTCATTGTTCTGGCCTGTATTGATCGGTAAGTATAAACTAAAAGAAATACTTAGTCATCGTTTAAATCTAACGCAAGTGCTAGTGTTTGAGTTAGAAACAGTCACACCCTTTCATTGTTTGAATCAGAAATGTATGTTCGTGAGGGACATATGATAGTCAGGTACATGTTCTATACATCTAACTGTTACCAATTATCGAATAGTTCAAGCTGATCAGTGATTCTCTGCTTGCCAAAAATAAAGTTGCTATCTAAATTTGATACTTTGTTACATCCACACTCAATTCTAGCTCAAATTCAAAGAATTAAAGTTGATGTCCAAACTGTAATAGTGAACTTCTATACGACAATTAAACTAATACGTAGGTGAAGTTAGATCTGAATTCGAGTATATCCGTGCACGATTCGTCAAAGAGCGTGTTCCAAATACAATTTAGTGAGTTCTATCCAATAGTAGAATTGGATTTTCATTATCTCAAACCAGGTTCAAAAAATCTTCAAAACCCAGTGTTTTTCTATGGCTTTCTGCCTGTAGTCGTGTAGAATTCGTTCCGATCTTCATGTTAATAAAATTTGCTTCTGTGTATGTAAAATAAGAGAAGTGTGATGAATCGTTCTACTGTGAAATTAACGATGATCAATGATTGAAACTTTTGAAGGTGTGTTCCTCCTGATGAACAGGCACTAATCATATATTATGAAGCTCTTGTGTACGTATGGAATAATCTTGACGTCATCTAATATTGAGAAATATCATATGTTTTTCGCATGGAAAAGAAAAAAAATGAAAGTTTAATTTTTTAATATATCTATAGCTTTTTTAGCATACGGTGGTGAATTGTTAGCTTTTGTAACACTTTGCAGATTGTTCAGTATGAGTAATTGGTTGAAAGAGTCGATGATACTGATGGTAAATTATTGCTTGTAAATTATGTCTATATAAAAGATGATTCATGCAAATCTTTTTCTGCCTATTTTGGAACAGAAGAAAATACACGATATGAAAGATCTAGTCATAAAAGATTTATATAACATTTTTTTCAAGATGCAACACGTTAATGATCTTTGCACATGAAATCACTATTTATTCACGTGTTCAAATTCACATTTTCTTGGGCAATCATCTATCTCATCACCACTCTTTAAAAAAATGGTCAATGGTCATCATTGTGATATTTGCTCACACCCTCACGTGACAATGTTATATGTGCATAGTATACGAAATGAAAAAATCTGGTCAATCTGTACAGTCTTTTTCATTTCAGCAGATTAAGTAGGTTATCGATCTTCCAACTAACTGTGTACATAGAATGAAACAGCTTTGGTGATACAACTGTCGAACAGATTGATAGTTGTGATACTGACATGAGTTCTGCAAGAACCTACTAGAAATACTATTGATATACATTTCTTCACATTTTTTCAATCATAGAACTTTCGAATGCAAAATTCAAGTTATAAATTGTATTTACGTAGACTCATCAACAACTTAATATAGATAGTTTGATTAAAAAACGGCATAATTTTTCAGTTCATTAGTCAGAAAAGTAGATAGGTAATCCTATTTTTAACTATAATTGAGTCTCAAGATAAAATATCGCTACTATATTATTTTTTCAAGCATGACTTGAGCCTCTGAATATACAATCATACCATTGAATAGATCTCTTCGAGATGTACCTAAATCATGAATAGGCGAGATCTGCGCGGATATACACTTATATACAACTGAAGTCTATAGTAAAATACCAGTATTTTGAAACTTTGAATAGTATAGTTCCAGGATAGACAGTCATCATATATTAGAAAGTCACTGAGCAAAGTTTTAAATGTTCGATTCGAAAGTTGTACTATTTTATCGAAATCTCTCTTCTTAAATTCAAAAAACATGGCAGACTCAAGCATGACGACCAGGTAATTTTTCGGTTATTTTTACTGTATTATTATAATGGGAAACGTTATTTCTCCGACTCATTCTTGTTGTTTGAAAGCAATAAGGATATTTCTATATTGAAACACTCGAATTTTTCGTCAAAAACTGCTGATTTTATAGAAAGTTGATAGAAGTGTAACAATCTGCAAACTCTCGTTATTGATGTGTATCATAAATAGTTTCATGACTTTCGTCATCAGTTCCTGTTTTGATTTGTACAAATATGAGTTTTCGTGTTTTAGGTTTCTTTGCAGTTCATCATCTGTCAGCCTACGTAATTGGAGCAATACTCGTATTGCTTTTCGTACTATTTTACTTACTATTTTGGTCATCAGTCTGGCCTACATTCATATGCCCATATACTATATAATACAGCTACCACAAAAATCATGTGCTGGTCAACCAGGCATCTATCAAGCATTTTTTAGCTTTTGGAATCTGATTTTGTGGAGTTGGTTGCCAACAATCGGGATGCTCTCTTTTAGTCTGCTTACTGTTCGACATGTTCGTCAAGGAAAAGCAAGAGTGGCAAATCAAAATATTCAAGGTAATATGCAACGAAATTATAAGAAAATAGATCGCCAACTCATTCAAATGATGTTTGTTCAATCGTTCGTGTTCGGTTCGACAACAAGTGCTCATGCATTTGTCAGTCTCTACATTTCATTCGGTGGTAGTTCCACAAATGATGCTGTCAAACGAGCCTTTAATAATTTTCTCTTAAATGCTTTTGCTTACATAGCTCTGACAGGTCCATGTTTGAGCTTTTATCTCTTTACACTATCCAGTCAACTATTTCGTAATCAGCTGATGTGTTTATTTCATTGTTACAAACGACCACAAGAGACAAAAACCACTGCTACATTTGCTATATCAAATAAAAACAAGCAAACTCATTAATTTTTTTCTCTAATATCAAACATCTTATCATCAAATACTTCGCTTATACTGGATCTACAAAACGACAATCATATTGTATTGGCTAAGATTTAAAACTGCTGTTTTATATTGTATTGTGAAAATGTTCATATCAAATGTGTTTCTGCTCATCCAAAACGGCTTATGTGCACATGTCATGATGTTGTCGAGACCCCTGCAATGATGGCTCTCTTTTCTGTATTGTACGATGCATAAATTTTCTTTCTGTTCTATTATATATATTGTTTTATGTTCACGATCGTCTCTGTATCGTGTTATATTAGGGCTTATGGTAAAAACGATTAATTAAAAGATTGTTTTGCTGTTTTAGTAGATGACCGCAAAGCTACTACTCTTCTACCGATCATCGAGAAACACATTCTGTCCGAGACTACAATATTCAGCGATCAATGGAAAGCCTATAATAGAATCTCTCGTTCATCACATGATTATGAGCACGACACTGTAAATCATTCTCGAAATTGTTTGAATCCTGAAACTGGTGCTCATATACAGAACATCGAAAACATGTGGATGTGTGCCAAAATGAAAAAAAAAATAATATGGGTCAACACATAACTCAGCTACAAACACATTTGACAGAATTCATATGGCGAAAAAAATTCGGCGATCGACTCCTCGAAAATCTTATTCAACATATTTAAGCTTTGGTATCCTCTTGTCTAATCACTTGCTTTGTTCTTATAAGTTCTGCTCCTTATTTATTCTCTTAATATTTGCTCTTATTTTGTCTTTTTTTCTTGAATAAATTGTCTTTCTACTTGCTCATTGCGACATCTAAAAGTCTGTCATGTTTAATGGTTAAAGCGATGCGCCAATTATCTTTTTTCTTTTCTGTCATTGTTATCATTACGAGCGGTGCATGTCGTGTAGAAGCACCAAACACTAATACTTTAATTAGCATAATAAACTTCGGTTTGGTTAAACTTGGCTCAGTTTAGTTCGGTTTGAAGTTTAAAAATTCGATCGGTTACGTTCGGGTCGTTTCGAAAAACATGCCAACCGATCCTATCTCTGTTATAGACGTGACAATAAATGTGTACTCACAACGGAAAGAATAAGAAGCTCAGTAGAAGTGATAATGCATCATGACTCACGAGCGAACAAAAAAAGAAAGAAAACGAGTTATGTTGCATCAGCAGTACACAACAGTATTTCTTCGAATTTCTTTTATATTGTAGATATAACAAGATGATTCTACTCGTAGTTCTCTACACATGTGTAGCACTCATCTGCTCTACTGTCTTTCTCGTCTATTGGAGATTGATCCGTCCACAAAAGCGCTTATACGATGCATTTAGAAGCCAAGGTGTCTCGGGTGAGCCATTCGTACCTCTTATTGGTCAACTGCCTGACATAAATCGCGCTATTAAAAACGATTCTTTCATGACCTATCGAATGGAACTCGTTCAAAAATATGGCCATGTCTATCTCATTGGTCTTGGTCCTTCGATATATCTTTCTATAACTGAACCGAATCTGATTGCTGATGTTCTTGGTCGATCACATGTTCAAGACTATACGAAGCCCTCGAATTTTAGTACTGATTCTGAACTATTAATTGGCAAACACAATTTATTAGTGAGCGAAGGATCCGAGCACAAACGCGCTCGAAAAATGCTTAATCCAGCTTTTCACTTTGCCAAGTTGCAATCGATGGTATCGATTATGGTCTATCAGACCGCCAAAGCCATTGATGAACTTCTTGCATTGTCTTCTCACAAGCAGTTTGTCGATTTACAGACCGAGCTCAGTACTATTACACTGACAATCATTGCCGCGAGTGCTTTTGGTAAAGGCTTTGAAACTACAGCTAACGCAAAAGAAATCGTGTGCCGAGCATTCACTGTCGTAACTAAAGCGATGGAATATCGAATGTTGCATATGATCGATCGCATTCCGATCATTGCACAACTACCTTTCTGGCACAAGCGTGTTCTTGACAAAGGATGTCGTGAAGTTGCTGAATTGGTAGATCAAATCATTGCTGATCGTCGACATGGTCGATCGACTAGTCAATGTTCGGGTCCTGATATTCTCGATCTTCTTCTTTCTGCTGTCGATGATGAAGGAAAACCGTTCAGCAATCAGGAAGTCAAAGAACAAGCTTTGACTTTTGTATTTGCTGGACATGAGACAACAGGCACTTTAATGACATGGGTAGTATATGTGTTAATGACAAACAAAGAAGTATGGCGTGCTTGTCGAGACGAAGTCAACAGGGTACTTCCGAACAACACTGAGCCCACCTATGAACACATGAGTGAGCTTGTTGTCTGCGAGGCCGTTTTGCAAGAAACACTTCGTCTCTACCCACCTGCGCCATTATTTGGACGTCAGTGTATTCGTGAACACACTATCGGTGGTAGCAGTGATCGCCAATTGCGTATTCCTGTTGGCACAATCATTTTAATGAATACCTATGTACTCCATCGACGTGCTGACTTTTGGTCTCGACCGCTCGAATTCGACTATACTCGATGGATGCGTGACTCGGTCACTGGTCATAAACCAAAATTAGTTCATCCTTTCTGTTATTTACCATTCGCAGCTGGATCACGCAACTGCATAGGTCAGAATTTCGCTTTGCTTGAAGCTAAAGTCATACTAGCTCTGCTTGTGCAACGATGTGACTTTGAAATGGAACCTGGTCAGAAAATAACGTCCGAAGTTCGCATCACCATGCGTCCAAAGTATGGACTACGAGCTAAAGTGATTAAACGATCGTAATACACTGTTATACGCAACTTCAAAGATTTCTTCACCTCTCTCGTTTGTTGAATAGTTGCTAACACTTCTTCGATTTGCACCCTATCATAGACACAATATTCTTTGTGAAATAAAAATCCAAGTTATGAGAGGGTGTGTGGGTGTGGATGGGTGTGGGTGTGTGTGTGTGTGTGTGTGTGGATGTGAATGTGGGTGAGAGCTTGAGAGAATAGACGAACCACATCCATACTCGCACTTAGACCCATACCAACACATCACCCACACCTGCTGACACTCGACCAGCATAGAGTGTGAGTTGTGCGAGTACAAGGATAAGTATTGATTTCAGTGTGTGAGGATGCCTATGATTATTTTTCTCGCGATCCCACACACATCTGCACTCCTAAAGTCACATTCAATACATGAAATTCGCATGCAGATTCACATCAATGCCTTCAGTTGCACGAGGCTCTTGTACCGTAATACTGCTAACAGTGTCAGATATTTCGATTGTTGAAAATTGCTTGAATTCGCAGAAAGCCATTCCTGCCAAAAGTCAATTCCAGGACGCTTTGGAGAAACTGATTTTTACATTTTCGCTGGTGTTTGATATTGCGAATTGTTAAGAGATAATAGAAAGTATTTTGATCAACTAAAACTATAGCTATATGATTCAACTGACTTGAAAGAGCCTATATATGAAATTTTTCAGATACATGACGTTGAAAAACTGCTTTAATGAAAGAAAAGTTGCATGTTACATTCACTTTCGCATATACCACGTACGCCAATCTTCATGTAGAGTTAATAATACTTGACTATTTTTGTCGCGAGCGAATTCATTAAATCACCAGATTGCATGCCAACCTCAGCTTCTGTTCTTAACTGTTCACGACGCAAGATCATTGTAAGTTCGTTTCGAGAATTAATCAATGGCAGTGGTTTTGGAATATTTGGATAGAAGCACACGAATGTGGTGCATTATGTATAAGACGAAACCCAGTAGAGAAAGGAACAGTAGAACTATTTTATTGCGTTTGTTCATGCTTATTCTAAAACATAAATATAAATAGATATTGTGTTAGTATTCCAGCATTATTTTTCGTGAAAATCGTAGCTTCGAAAGTGCCTACCATTCAAGCCTAAAGTAAAATGATTTGTCTTCTTATTTATACATCGTATGATGCCTTATTTGAATTTCCGGAAGCTTGTATCATTTTCTGTTGATGGATATAGAGGAGGTATAGGAGATATTGATTAATTGGTGCAGCTGATCATTCAATAATATTTGAATTAAAACATCTATTCATAAAATATATTGGTGCCACTTGCCAAGTCTTGCTCGAAAAAATCAATTCCTATACCTCCTTATACCTCCTATACCTCCTCTATATCCATTAATAGAAAATGATACAAGCTTCCGGAAATTCAAATAAGGCATCTAATCTTATACATGGCTCGATAGCATGTGGATCTCTGATTACGAAAAAGCAGTTTTTAGTGCTTCATGGGTATTGTAAAGAGTTAATGGAATCAAAAGCTTTGAGCGCATCTTTTTTCAAGAATGACACATCTTTTTCGAAAAGTAAAAATGAGCAGTGGATATTATGGGAGCCTTTCAACCCAAGTATAAAGCAGAAGTGGGCTGATTTAAAACTTTCGGCGACTGTACACGAAAGAATTTGTCATCTCTTTAAATTTCAGTTTGATACGTCAAATTTTGCCATTACCTCGCTGCATTGTAAGGTAGGTGCCCTAAAGACTTTTACGAACAAATGTGAGAGACGCGAACTGCACATCTGTGAAAGGATATGTTGATGGTTTGTAGGCCAGTTTGTATACAGGGTGTGTGAAAAAATTTTTATAAGGAGATAACGTTGCGATTTTAACCAACATCATCAATAAGTTTGTATAAAATGAAAGTCAGTTGAAAGTAGGATTTATCAATACTAAATAGTAAGAATTATGATAAATTTTGAGTGTCGAATCCAAGAAATTCCTTAAGTTTTACGCTATATCAACAGAAAAAAATCTCTTTCATGAGGCATTTTAAACTGCCGAGCGGCTCAATTGGTTTTCATCCCTTGATATTTTTTTGTTTTCATTACTGTACTTCTTTTATCCATTGACTCACTATGTATAGTGAGGAAGCCCGAAACGAGCTGCATCTTTCGATATATTCACATTAAATATCAAATGCAATTTTATGTGTAAAAGATGTATTAGAAAAAAAGTGACATTGTTTTCCACTACAATACCTGGTGTCCATCATGTGGTAACAGTTTTTTCTTCGCGTATAACTCGACTTAGGTAAGTGATAATCACTTGATTTTTTTTCCAAAAGATGAATCAAGAAAAGCTCTATATAATTTATGTGATTGAATTTCCTTTTACCTATTCTGATAGTTTTCCCTATACTTGATATGAACAACGTCATGACACTGTCATTTCCCATCATAGTGAAAATGTTTGAAAGACTATTCTGATTCGTTATAGGAATTGGTACATAAAGCTTTTGTTGAGCTTTTGATGGCACATCGGTTTGCAGAAAAATTCAATATTCTATCATATTCTAAAGTCGAGACAGACACAAAACAAAAAAGTCTGCGAAACATTTTCAATATGTGGGAGCGATGTCGCTTCTCTTTAACCAGCTGAGTCGCAATAATCATATCGTACGATCCGCTGTAACTGGCACTGACCAATTATAACTTATACTTCCTTATTTATAATTGGGCATACTCCAGCAGTAAAACTTAGCCACACAGAGATCGTAAAAAAACATTGACCGTGAGACTTCGGCTCATAACTCATTCTACCACAAAAGATATAATATATAGTCAGATAATCATTTTTGAATTCTTTTTTAGTTTTTCAAACCATTTTACTTTCCAATATTTTTATTTTACTAGTTTACTATTTTTAATTTTTTAAGTTTTTTAATTTTTTAAGTTTTTTAATTTTCAAAGTTTTTAATTTTTTCTAGATTTACATTCTTTTGTTTTTCTTAATTTTCTGAAATTTTGAAATTTTTTTACCCTTTAATTTCCTTTTAATTATTTAGTTTTTAATTTTTCTATTTTTTTTAAAGTTTTCTAATTTTTTAATTTTTTTGTATTAGTAATTTTTTTTTTTAAATTCTTGTTTTTAATTATTTTATAACTTTTTAATTCTGTAGTTTCTCTAAGTTTTCCATTTCTTTGTATTAAAAAAATTGGTTTTTATTCAAAATAAAGAAAAATAAACAAAATGCAAACTTTATCTAAGCCATCTTTTTTAGCGATTGCGACGTAGTCCTGCCATAACTGCGATCACATTGTGACCTGTAATTGTGAAAAACTGCGATGCAGTTTTACCTTACTCGAACATATGACGGATGACATTGTCATGTAGATTTTTCATATTCGCTATAGGTAAAACTATTAGAGTAGGTTAAAAGGAATTCAATGATATAGTTTATATAGAGCTCTTCTCGATTCATCTTTTGGAAAAAAAATTCAAGTTATGATCATTTATCTATATCGAGATGTATGCGAAATAAAATTGTTACAACATGATGGATATCAGGTATTGTAGTGAACAACAACGTTACTTTTTTTTTCTAACACATCCTTTACACTTAAAACTGCGTTTAATGTTTAATGTGAATATATCAAAAGATGCAGCTCGTTCTGAGCTTCCTCGCTATGCATCGTAAGTTAATGGATAAATGAAGTACATTAATAACAACAAAAAAGAATATCATGAGAGGAAAACCAATTGAGCTGCTCCGTAGATCATGTCTAAAATGATGAATATGAAAAGATCATGTTCATATTTACAAGATTTGATGCATATAATCAATAAGCAGGGTGACGCTTGTTAGCCTTTTTAAAGCCGGAAGATGAGACAGATACGAGCATAAAACAATCTGAAATAGGTTACTGTTTGTTTTCATATTTGCCCAAAGTAGAGCTCGAAAAGGGGCAGATTTTTAGCTCCTCTCTCGTATCGACCTTAATTTTTTTTCGTTTTCCCACCTGAACTCGCCACGACCTTGATTGGTTTTTCTTCACTACCTCATTAAGTATCTATGAGATATTTTTTCCTTTGATCGTATCATTTGTTTGACTTTATTTTGGAAAAAAGGCACAACCTTACACTAGCAAAAAAAGAACATAACTGGACATTAATAAACCTTTTTGTTATTCGCTATAGAATGAAGAAATAAAATATTATTAACAGTTGTGGAATGTAAATTAGGTCGTCTTTGGTTGGTAAATTCTTCTGCTAACGAAAATTCATTGTCGACAGCAGGTGAATCGGTTATTATTAAGTATATGCGACATGGCAATTTAGAGAAATCTGGAAAATTTTTTCGTATTCATGTCAAAATAAGTATGAGTTTGAACAGTCTTTGTCTGATTTGAAATCGATATTTATATCGATTTCATCTTTTGTTGTTGATGTTGATTTTCTTTTTTCGTTTCGTCATCCATTAACTGTTCAAGGAACTCTTTTTGTTGAATCATTTTCAATATCAACTGTTGCGATCAAAGTCACTTTTGGTAGACATATACCGCAAGCATGACAACATTTTGTTTTTTGAGCTCTTGTTAGTAGTAGTAGTCATGCTAGGTTTAGATGAAGAAAAGAACACTAATAAAGCGTGTGATAGAGGATATAGCAGATTTTTGATACTGTTTGTATCAAGTTGGACTCAACCAAAAGGTTTGATGCTGATGTTAACGATAGGAAATTTTCTATCAGTTTAACAAAATGTTCTCTGCTAAATTATCATTAGGTGTATCTTCGTAACACCAAAGTCACCGAATACTAGTAAAAAGCCAACTTCTCAGCTGCGAAATCATGCCATTTATAAATTCAGTTTAGTCAAATTAGAGTGAGCTCAAATATCATTTTTCTTCAACTAAGACATGCAAAGTTGTTTCGCGTATCAAATGTTACGTCCAGTTAAGCATTCCTAATGTGTTTCTTGTTGAAAAACTACAGAATATCTTAAATGCATCCTCGGCCTTATA